TACCAATTCACTGATACTAATTATATATATATATATATATATATGTATAATTAGTATCAGTGAATTGGTAATCTTTTAGTTGCATCTAGAACATCTCAAAGCTGCAACAGATAGTCATGACATGCATACCTCATACATGGGGGTTTCCAGTGGATTAGCTTGACTTTTGTACTTAATCTTCTACTTTTATAACATATTCTCCTTTGCTTTCATTCCTGGGTTCTCGGAATTTTATCACTAATGTATAAAACAAACTTGCAAACATGACTACTATAATCATAAAAAGAGAAATAATTTGCATAAACCTATTCATACTTTGGTGTATGGTACCTTGTTAATGTGTTGTATTGTCTCTGTATTATCATTTATTGACTTAAAATCCTGATAATACATCTGAAGCAGTGCTGTTTTATGTATATTACTTGCAACCAAGTATTAATGAGGAAGTCGATAAAGCTTATCTTCCTGCTGTAAATATTCCTGGCTATACTTGGTTTTGCAGTGCTACGAGAACAATTGTAAAGGTTTTAAAAAATAAAGTGGGAAGATCAAATAATAATCTGTTGTTTGTTTATAAAAAGTTCATTGTTGAATAAAAATGCATTATTATTCCTATTTATCTTTGATTGACATATGGTTTTTGTTTCTTTGGCAGCTATGATTTTTCATTTTATAACAGACTTGATTTATTCTAAAAGAGTAGAATTATATTTTCACATTGTTGGAGATCATGAACCTGATGTTATAGAATGAATAAATACAACATTTTTGTTCAAATACTTGAATAAAATCTTTTTTATTTAATTCAGATTTTTAACAAGCAATCTCTTACTCAGTAGCAGAAAGTTTGACTATTTTGGTAGATGGTGGGGTCCCCATCAGATCCAGTAATGTATAAGCTTGAAAGTGAGGCACATGGTGTGTAGGACATGATTCAAGGATCATTTTGCCTTGCTGTTTTCTTTGTTTCAAGAAGTTAAGGTGTTTCTATCCTTTCAGAGTGGACCACCCACATACTATGGTCATATTATTTTGCCATTCGTTTAGTACTCCTCTTATCTTTGTAATATTCTTGATCATCACTTAGAAAAAAAAGTCCATATTCTTTATTCTTTACTTGATCTTGAATTGTTCTCCTCCTGCTGTCATCCCCATTTGAGGGTAAGTCATTGGATACATCTTTAAGTTTACCTCTCCTGTACACAGGAGTCCTTCTCTTTGGGTGCTTGATAACACCTGCTCTACTAACACTTTTCTGACTTCTCTTATGGCTAACGTTTTGAGCAACTGGTGTACAAGTGTGATCATATCCACTCCTGTTACATTTGTAATGCCTAGGACGTTTTGATACTTTACATTTATAAGTTAGCTTTGAATCCAACCTCATTTTCATCTTGACAAGAACAAACACTCTGAGATTCTGGCTTGTTGTCTAAGCAATTCCTTGCAGATTTCACAAAAAGTTTGCAAATGGTGAGTAGATAATGTACAACAGCAATGCCATGACCATTGTCTAAGTTAGAGTAAAAAATTACCTGATTCTACTGATAAAAAACAATAATAATTTCTTTGGATGTTATCCAATTATAGATTGGCATACACCTCTGGAATCCTCGTAAATTAATGCATATTCCCAATGACTTTCAGAAATAGACTAAATGTCAGATATGGTTCTTAAAAAGTGCCCTACCATTTCTGCTGCCATTGAGTCGGAGACTGCTTGTTAAACTATAAAATAAATGTTTGTTTTTTTATATTCAAATAGACTTGAAGAAATACTATCTAGCCCATACCAGTAAAACCATTCTTTATAGTTACCTTTTAGGCACCCACTGAATTCTGAGTTAAATGTTTGTAAAATAAAGTATCTTCTACTAGTGAACCATTTTTACATTATGCTGACAATTTGTGTTCCAAGATAAGCCACAAAATGTTTCAGTGTAATTTATAACATTGATGAAAACATTGTCAGTGGGCCATATCTAGTTTGATGTTAACCTGATAAGTGGTCTGTCAAAGCAAGAGACCTCTGTGATTTCATATTTTAAAAAATGTATGATTCATATGCCTGTGCCTTTAATATCTGATTTTGATAGGAGTGTTATTTTTTCTATATCAAATTATGTGGGTAATTTAAAAAGATTATTTATGAGTGTAAAACTTTTAAAATTTATTGAATATTAGCTACAGTAATGAGCAATTTGTGAACAAAAATAATATATATGGAAGTATAATTGTATTATTACAAAGTTAAAGGTGTATTATAAACTTTTGAATATTTTCCATGATGAGTCAGAGGGTGAACTGGTTTTGCTGTTAACAGAATTTGTTTTCTAAATGTTTAGTAACAAGTTGAGTATGTGCCTTTATTTTATTCATTATTCAAACTACTGTTGTGATAATGTTAGAGTTGAGCCAAAGAAATATATTGGTTAAGTTTTATGAAAAATTTAACTTGAAATCTGCCTCGATTTTTGAGACTTCCTATGTTTTTCTATCACAAAAGGTTAAAAAATATTTACCATGTTTTATAAATGTCTGAAAAACAATCTATTGGTTTTGTTTCAGCAAGTTATTTTAATTTCATTATTTTAAATGAGCATTTTGAAATACTATTGAAATAACATTTTAAATAAAAGGCAGAAATGACATATAATATTTACATCTGTTTTAGATAGAACTACTCGATGTTGATAAAATTGTTAGTTTGCATTTGATAGACAAAATATGGTGCTCCGTATCATAGGAATTAAGGGGGGAAACTTGAGCTGACAAAATGTTATCTACCCTAGTTTTGAAGTATTAGATGTGAAATTGAAAACATGCTTAACTATGCGAGATATTCTGTTTTCACAACCCAAGCCAAGATATGTTGATATTGCATTTTAGCATTGGAAATGTTTAGAAAGTATTTAATACCATATCCAGCTGTTAGACTTGAGTGCAGGTTTTTACATTCCAAGAAAAAAAAAACGTGTTCATAAGTTAAAGTGTAACATACTCATACATGTCTTCTTGCATTTAAGCATGACAAAACAATTAGGCAGAATAGGAATTTAACTTCAATTTAATAATTTTATTAAAAAGGAAGAAAAAGCTATACTTTTTAAATTTCAGGCCATGTGTGTGTGAAGAAAAGTAGTTTATGTTGGTACATTTTGACAGATTTATTACATTTTTAGTATATCTGTTAAAACTAGTACATTTTATACACAGTTTAGGTATTTTACATGAAAAAAGTTATGCTGGCTGTTACTCTCACTATTCAACATGCATTAAGGAGCCTTACTGTTTATTGAAGCTTTAATCTTGCAACAACAAAGAATATTTCAGAATTTGAAATGCTCCTGGCCTTACTCCTCAGAGCTAAATCTCTTTAAACTTGGACATTAACTTTTATATACATGAGAGCTATAATAAGAAGCACACATTTGAATGCTTATCAAATATTTCATGAGTTGAGTGTAGAATGTGTATTAAAAAAAATGCTTTCATGTTTTAATTCAATGAATTTTGTTTCATATTTTCATAAGTTAACTTTTTGTAATATATGCACAATATAAAACAAAAACAGGACTTTTTTGAAATTATCAAATCTTTATCTTGAACATTTGTATCGCATGGAGATAAAATTATTTCAAGTTATCTGTAAACAATTTGTGCTGTGACATATATTTCAACTTGGTTACTGATATGTGAAGCTTTTTTAATATTGAATAATATAATATTATTAATGTTGAAAAAGTTTGTATTTTTTTTTGCCACTGGGTTTATTTAAAATCTGAAAATTTAGGAATGATTATCAATACATCTGGGAAGTTGATGTTTCACTTTTATATTTCTTAGTTAATTATTATCTGCAAATATTAAAAAGCTTTTTTATATGACTTTTTACTGCATACTTACGAATGTAATGAAACAAATGCCGCTTCTGTACAAATGTGAAGCAAATAATCTTTTGTAATACAAATTTGAGTATTAATAAAACCTTTTATATAATTTTGGATGTTAATATTAAAGACTTCTTTGCTTAATTTTTCTGGTAAT